TGTATAGATATATACAAAGCTTTTCACTGAGCTCTGTTTTAAGAATAAATATTGGCAATTATTCAATTTTCTATCAATAAAGCAATAGTTAAACAAATTATGTGTCTCACAAAGAATACATATATTAATACATATTTTATATTTACATATGCATATGTGTGTGTGTATGTAAAGATAGAAAATAAAGCTGGGGAGGTTTTATGGACATAGAAGTTAATAGTGGTTACCTGTGGGAGGTGGGAATAGAGGGAGGCAAGGAAAGAATTTTCACCAGCCCAGAAAAGTAATACAAGACAAGAGGGCCTTTCATTTTATATTATAAAAATAAAATAAATACTAAGTTTACTAAATCAAATGGAGAGAAAAGTCATAACTATATGTGCTACTGTATTTTTACATAAATAACGTATGCCTTCGTTTGTTTGTCAACCTTGCCCTTCCCGTGGGAGGTATTTCTGAAAGCATGCTATGCTAATTTTTTTTTTACAGCAACAAGTAAAAATCTGGCATAGCAGCACTTCTGAAAATACCTCGAGTGGGGGGGGGCACTACTGGCAAACAAACACAGAACCGAAAAAAACCAAATCCACTGCCATCGAGCTGGTTCCGACTCATAGCGACCCTATAGGATAGAGTAGAACTGCCCCATAGGGTTTCCAAAGGTATAAATCTTTACGGAAGTAGCCTGCCACCTCTTTTTCCCGTAGAGCAGCTGGTGGGTTCAAACTGCCAACCTACTGGTTAGTGGCCAAGCGCTTTTACCACCGCGCAACCAGGGCTCCCTACAAATGTAGAAAGTATGCATTATTTTTGTAAAAATATGATATTCTTAATGCATCAATCCATAGTAAGATTAATTCAATTTGAGGAAGGACCAGAGAGATCTCTGAGGTCAGATCCTCCCAAGTTACTAAATCATTCTCTTTGAATACAACTTAGGTATTTGGTAAGGTCAAAAACATCATACTGCAAAAGACATACAGGAATATAACCAGGATATGAAAATATTCTTCTAATGTGAAACTGCTTTGTATGGAAATTGCTATAACTTTCTGTTATGGTCATTATGCCGAGACTGTTATAATGTCTTTAATGTCTGATAATATGACTTTCAACTTTTAGAGAAGCTCCAAAAGGATCTGGGGAACCCAACACAGAAGATCTTACTTCTTGACTAGGCAAACTGATGGCACCTATAATAAAGGCTGGGATCACCAAAAGGCTTATACAATAAACACTGCTAGAGAAGAAAGAGGAACTATTAATAATTATCTAAGGAAGAGCTACTTCAGTTCAGCAGAGCAAAGTACATTAAGGTCTATATAACCTTAGAGAATCAGCTGATATCTTTTATTTAACAACTTTTTCCCCCTAAATAGTCTTTTATATGATAATACCAGTTGCCATCAAGTCAATTCTGACTCACGGCAATCCCATGTGTTGTAAAGCAAAGCTGCACTCCATAGGGTTTTCATGGTTCTTCCACCAAGGCACCGCTGGGTGGTTTTGTACCACTAACCTTTTAAATAGCAGCTGTAAGCTTAACTGTTTGTGACACTCAGGGACTCTTTTTACATGATAAACCCATTGCCATCAAATCAATTCCAGCTCATAGAGAATAATCAAAAAAAAAAAAAAAAAACACACAAGACTGCCAAGTCAATTCTGACTCATCACGACCCTACAGGACAGACTAGAACTGCCCCATACAGTTTCCAAGGAGCACCTGATGGATTCAAACTGCCGACCTTTGGGTTAGCAGTCCTATGGGACAGAGTAAAACTGCCCCCGCAGGCTTTCCAAGACTGTAATCTTTACGGAAGCAGACTGCCACATCTTGTTCCCCCAGAGCAGCTGGTAGGTTTGAACTGCAGACCTTTTGGTTAGCAGCCAAGCTAACCACTGTGCCACCGGGGCTCTTTCTTTTACATCTCACACATCCAAAGGTACTCCAAGGGTGTAATTAACAACTCTCCTTTAAACACAGCAACAGTAACTTACCACTCATTACCAAGCATAAAATTCTGTTGTTCTGAATCTTACTATATCCACTGGGTCAACTGATAGAAAATTTCCTTGATAATGTCAACTGATGGCAGGATCCATTTAAATAACGGAGCTGAGTTCATCACCACAATCAATGTAAGTTCACACAAAAACCTTCCCTTCCCAGTGGCCTAAGAAATTTCAGTCTGATGAAGACAGAGGTGACAGGGCTGTCATTAGGTTCTCTGGTCTGGCATCTTAGTTTCCTCATGTGGTGAAAGGATACAAATAACTTTCCAAGGTAAATGCTATTTGCTCAGGCATGCCCTGGCAACTGACCAGGTATAACAATATCTATGTGTGCAGCAGGAATAGAGAAGGAAGAAAACTAGACTAGACAAGAGCGAGAAACTCTAGATGACAATCAAAACCCCAAATCATCAACTTCTCAGTCAAAGGCAAGAATTTTTAAATGAAAATGTCTGCTTATTTTAGTCAACTTTCAGTAAGTACTTGCCTGATAATGGTTTGCCCCCTTTCTTCCCCACTATAATTAATTAGGAGCCCTGATGGCACAGTGGTTAAGAGCTCAGCTGCTAACCAAAAGGTCAGCAGTTCAAATCCACCAGCTGCTCCTGGGAAACCCTACAGGGCAGTTCTACTCTGTCCTATAGGGTAGTTATGAGTAGGAATCAACTCGATGGCAATGGATTTTAGCACATAATTAATTAAATAAGTCTCGTATGTAAAGGTTTAGACACAGATTTTTATATTAGTTGCTCTCTATTGTAAGGACTATTTAAGTTTGCTTTTATCTGTCTCACCTTGGCAGATGGCTGTTTTGTAATATTTTGCATTTTGTAGTTGAATTTCTTTTTAAAACTATGACTGTAAAATTTTATTGTTCCTCAATTGGCAAAGATGAATTTTATTGGTAGTCTGGTGTTTAGGCTAGTGGGGGGAAGTCCCTAAAACAAAAAATCAGATAACTAATTAGAAGTGACTCACCCTAACCTGGGACTTCAAACAAATAAAGTAAGCTTGATAGTATTCTGTGATAATAAAAATATTACCTGCCTTTTACGTAATGTTTTTATAATTTAAAAAACAGGCATAAATTGTTCCCATCTTAGACTTTAGGAAACTAAGCCTAAGAGAAGTTAAGTGACATAGATTTTAGGGGGTTGATACTGAAACCCATCACTAGAGATATTGAACCTATAACTACTGCCAGAGAATCTGTCAACCCCTTGATCAGGGAATCTATGAACCCTCTGAAATGGAATGCAATATCAGGTGTACATCAACATTTTTCTGGGGAGAAGGTTAAGTGAGGACTTTCATTTGATTTTCAAAGAACATCTGTGATATAAAATTGTCTAAGGGCCATTAGAGGAAAACACACAATGTTTGCATCAGATAAACCTGATTTTAAATTCCAGTCCTGCCATTTACTAGAAATGTTACCCACTCCTCTAAGTGTCAAGCTGACCTCTCAGAATCATTGTGAAGATTAAATAAGATAGTGCATATAAAAGACCTAACATTGTTTTTAAAAACTCCTTATAATAACTCCACGGAGCAAAGACTACAAGTTATGCCCCAGTATCTGTTCAACTCGTCTTTCAAAGCAATAGTTTAGCTGAGCATGTGGCCAGCTGAACAAAGACTATTATTCCAGCCAGATACATTAGATATTTGCAGTTACATATCTTCATGAGACTAAATTATGGCCAATGGAATGAAGTTGAAAATGTTGTGTGGCAGCACCTAGGAATGTGTCTTAAGAGAAGCCAGAAAGTATCTTTTGTCCCTTCATGCCTAGCAATGCTGACACGGTGTGCTGGGAGTAGGCTGGGTACCTGAGATTTTGATATAGCAGAGCCATTATATTAGGCCTGTACTTTTGATGCAGTGGTTAAGAGCTCAGACTGCTAACCAAAAGGTCAGTACTTCAAATCCACCAGCAGCTCCATGGAAACCCTATGGGGGTAGTTCTACTCTGTCCTATAGTGTCGCTGTGAGTCGGCATTGACTCGACAGCAACAGGTTTTGGTTTATGTGATATAGAAATAATAACAATAATAGCAACAGCTACCATTTACATAGCCTTGCGATGTGTGAGGCACTGTTCTAACCACTTCATAATTAATTAATCTAATCATCAAAACAACAGAATGAAGTAGCATCTATTATTTTAATTTTGAGAAAATGTGGCACAGAGACATTAAGTAGCCTGCTCAAGGACAAGTAGTTTTTAGCCAGTGTTATTCTGGGGCTTCTATAACTTGCAGCTGAACTTAAACCCAACTAATACATCCTCAGAAAAGAAATTTAAACAATTTTTAAGTGGTCAAGTCAGGATTTGATGTTCAAGGTCTGACTGCAAAGCCTACTTCCTTCTCCAATGGATTGCTCCCCAAAACAGGTCAGGCTGCTAGAATCTCTTTCTGCCCTCTTTTCCCTGTTGTCCAAGGATCTGTGTTGACACAGGATCAAGGGTGGTCTGCTCAGAGAAATCAAGCTACAAAATTTTAGCTCAGAGAAGACAAGTGTCTTGGCCTATTTACAAGTTGGTTTTAGGGTGTTCATATATCTAAGTTGATGAGTGTGGACTTCACCAAGTAAACCAGCTTCATAATCATTATCATCACCTAGCATTTACTGTATTTTTACACAAATAACGCATGCCTTCTACATCAGTTTGCCAACCATGCTATACCCTCAGAGGTATTTTCGTAAGCACCACTATGCCAATTTTTTTTTACATGCTGCTGTAAAAAAAAAAAAAAATTAGCATAGCGTGCTTACGAAAATACCTCCTGAACGGAGGGCATGGTTGGCAAACAAATGTAGAAAGTGTGCGTTATTTATGTAAAAATACAGCATTATATATCCATCACATGCTAAGCATTGTGTTGAAGGCTTTAAAGAACCTAAATGCCTATATGTTAACAGACAAATCTATTAGAAAAATAAAACTTTAAGACAATTAAAATAAAAAAACAACTAACCTTTATCATTCTGGATAGATCACCAGCATCTGCTAATTCCAAAACTATGTTTAGTTCATTATCTTCAATGAATGATGCATAATATTTAATTACATTTGGATGGTTGAGTTGCTAAGAAAAGAAACAAGCAACAAGAAGTTTTCTTAATGTAAATTCCAGAGTCACTTATAGTTTAACTTAAGCATAAATTTACATTCTACATTTTATTTTTAAATTACGGACCTCTTACTATGCTAGTGTATTTTTCTTTAATCTTAGTGAATTTTGAAACAAATATTATAATTATTGAAAGTAAAACTACTTTATTTTAGTACTCTTTGTTAGAAATCATGGAGTAAATTATGCACTTAAAACTCTGAAAAGCACTATTATGTCCAATAAATAAATAAATGTATATAAACAAATGACAGTAAATCACCAATTACTAAAAATTATATCCTGTCATTTAAGAGCATTTGATGATAAAATGCCCTTTTTTACTCGTTCTTTGAAGTTAGGGTTGGTCGTAGTATAATCCCATCCAGTGGAACAAAAAATAACTGGTATCTACTTTATTACACCTAAATATTGCTTTCACAACAAATAATATAAATATACAGAACTTATCCATGCAGTAGGTTGATACATAAAATCCCTAACAAAAATTTAGCCTTGTAGAAATACATGCATCAGTCAATACACATTTTTAATTTTTTTGTTTGGTCTTTAAACAAGTCAACACAAGACAAAGAGTTTCTTAAATAAAATTACTCAAGAATTATCCTAGAGAGTATACAGGTGATTTTCTTCTCTTCTTTTTACTTACAGGCTTTTTCCCCCAAAATTTTCTATTACATTATTCTATAATAAAACTTTATGTGTGCGTATGTGTGTGTGTGTGTGTGTGTGTGTGTGTGTGTATTTTTTTAACTACTTACTTCATGTCCCAAAACATAACTACAACCACTAGAGCAGTCAGAAAGCATGGTTCTTTTTGTTCCTTTACTCTTATATCTTTGGATATATCTGACTCATTTTAGGCATGAACACAAATGGATGGCATTAAAAAACACCCAAGTCCTATCTAAAAGTCAAAAATACAACATAAGCCATAATATTTCTCAAAAAAAAGTTCACTAGAATAGAAGCAGTGCAGAGATAACTGAAATTTCACTTATATTCTTTGCATGCATGAGAAACAAAAAGGCTAATTCCACCCTTTCTAAACTGGAAAAAAAAAAAGATTCAGAAATATTATAAACACATGTGAGCCACTTAGATTAGTCCACCTTCGCAGTATATCACACCTTGAAATAATACTAATCTGCATTTATAGTACATAACCGTTAGAATATGTCTAGTTGCATAGCCAAGAAAAAAATGTCTTTAATGTTTTATGCCCATTTTATGTTTCCCAGTTTGAAACAAAAAAAAAAACCTAAAAAGCTGATCCTCCCAAATGGCCCGACTAAATTATTTTACAATGAACCCAAAACGGCAGCCACGTTCTTAAATGTACTGAAATTTAAATACATATAATATTACTTGAGATCAGGGTGGCATAAGTTAAGGCTTAGAAATCTTTTATAAGTGCAGTATTTTAATAAATCACCTTTGTCAATACACTCTGTTGTCCTCAAAATATTCAATAGCTCATTTACTTACCTTAAGAAGATCTATTTCTTTGATGCAGTCGGCGCGTGCTTTGGCATCCATTAAATCAAATATCTAAAAATAGAATCCAGAATTGTTTAATAAAACAATATTATCTATTACATTCTATATGTAATTATATACAAACTAGGAAATCTTTCTGATTAGCTTTTAATAACTGTGGAGATCTGTAGGTATTTTATCTCATGTTACTATAAAACTTACATTTTTCCTTCTAAAGGCTGTCAGTATTAAAAACTGAAAAAGATACTTCTTGTCACTCAGGTCTTAAGTTCAAATGGAAGAGAATGGAAGTTGTGATTATTAAAATAAGAAAATAATAGTTAACATATACTGAAAAATTAGTATGTGCTAATTGCACTACATAAACTATCTCATTTATCATTTAATCCCTATAAAGATAATATTAGTATTCCCATTTTATAGATGAAGGTTAAGAGACTGACAAAAGTCCACACAGGTAATCAACAGAGGGCCAGAATTCATTCTCAGATTTATTCAGCTAGAATCCAAGCTCTGAACCGTTAATCTATAAAATCTCCTATCAAATCATGTCTAAAAGGTCTAATGCATGCATTCCTGTTGGGGGTGATATCGCTCCAATGGAGTGATAATTTTTTTTTTTTAGAAGGGAAGTGAGAAAATCTTATTCCTTTTAAGTATAAAGCACAGATTTATGTGCAGTACATAAACAGACATATAGTACATGTGGCATTAAAATTTCATGCGAGTGAGACAATTAGGAAAATAATGTCTAGAAAGGCTCCTTGGGGTGATAATAAAGAAAAAGTTGACAAATATTGGTCTACTGTGAAAAATAAACAATAGAATCAAAAGGATATTTCGTATGTCTCTGAAAGCAAAGAAAACTCTCAAGGTCCTAAATGGGTGGAAAATAAATAATAAACAAAGCAATACTTTAGATATTGCAGAAATATTTAAGTCAAGAACAAGCCAGTTAAAATCCTAATCACATCACAAAGAAATTAATAACATTTATAGCCATCCACTTGATTAAGTCTTCCTGATCCAGATGGCCAATAAATTCCAAGAAAAGTAGCTGTGTAACCTGAAAGTAGTACTATGCTCTAAGCCTTTTTAAACAGGGAAGGAATTATCAAACACGTACCAGAGGGTGCTGGCCTCATTACATATGTTGCTTTAATATCCACCACAATCTTATAAAAAGTAGATAGTAAAAAACACAAACAAACAAAAAATCAAACCTGTTGCCATGGAGTCGATTCCAACTCATAGTGACCCTACGGACAGAGCAGAACTGCCCCAGAGGGTTTCCAAGAAGCAGCTGGTGGATTCAGCTGCTGACCTGTTGGTTAGCAGCCATAACTCTTAGTCACTGTGCCACCAGGGCTCCAAAGGAAATAGTGCTGGCTCCAATTTACATATGAGGACTGAGATTTTAAATAACATGCTTGTGGTCATAAAACTAGTAAATGGGAGAACCGAGACTTGAACCCAGGTAGTTTCAGCTCCACAGTGTGTGTTTTCTTCCTTGGCTCAGGTTGCCATGAAGTCTAACCCATACACAACTAACTAATAAGTACTAAATACATGTACATGCAAAGTGAAGTATCAGGAAGCTAATGGATAACATTAGAGCTGAACCTTGAAAGAATTATAGATTCTGCCAGCCAGAAAGAACAGATACCTAAGGCAAAGAAGTAAATATAGAATATGGATATATAATTACAGCTTATAAAAGGGTACTTTTGCTCAATATTCTTCTTAACGCCCAAAGATGTACACGGTTCCATTTTTTCCTTATTTGTAGTTAAAACAATCAACGTGAAAATATTGTTTTAAAACAATTAACAAAAATAAAACTATAACCTCTCTGCCTTAAAGAATTTTAGCTTTCACTTAATCCCCTCCCATTCTTGTCCAAATGTATGTGCTTTTTATGTAGTGCAAACAGCAGCAGTATGTAAAATAGCATACACATTTCTTTCTACTTAACATTATAGCAAAATCATTTTCATGTTTCTACTTAATCTTCAATTTAATTTAGTTCTGTATCTAATAAAAATTTCAAATATCAATTTTATGTTTTACAATTTTTAATGTGAAACAGTTGAACACTACATACTGTTGGGGTTTTAAATATATATGGTATGTATATATAAGAGAAAATGAGAAGAATGAAATAAATCACAAAAAAGTTAGAATCTTATCTTAGTTAACGGTTTATAAAAAGACAGAAATAAACTAGATGGCACCAAAGTTCCTCCCACTTGACTTGAATGATGGAAAGGGATATATGTGTGTTGCTGCATGTACTAGAAATAATAATGTCTCTTTTCTCCATTAGTAATAATTCTAACATCTTAGCTAAATGCACATGTGTTAACTATCCTGATTTTGGAGAAGAAAGGAGAAGAGGAAGGGAGGGGAGGAGAGGGGAGAGGAGAACAGGGCTATGAATAGCAAATCACTGTTATAAAGTTCACATAAAAATCTAGTAATAAAGTCTTTGCAAACATCAAGCATATAGTTTTACTCAACATATAGATGATTAATACCAATAACCTGATCCTGGGTATAGGCAAGCTTAAATTGTTCATGTTCATACTTTCCATTGTGCATAAAAATGGGTTGAACACCAACTCTTATTAGATCTTATTGTAGATAAATATAAAACAAGCTTGTAGCCTGTAAGACGCACACTGTCTAGTACAGAATGCACACAGACTATAAAAAATTAACAGATAATAAGTGCTACTTGTACAAAGTGATATGAGAAAGCCTGGGGGGGGGGGTGAAGCATGGATGAAAGGGCCCCCAAACTGTATTTATACATGCAGAAAAGTTTGATATTCTCCAGAAAGATTTCTATAAAAAATCATTAACATTAAAAGCTCATTACTGAAAGAAGCTTCACATTTAGCAATTTCCCACAGAGAAGCCCCTTATTCCCCAAATTGCTAAATGATGTCAGAACAATGATGTTACTATGCAATGTCAATTAATACCAAAAACCAATATATACAGAAACAAAATGAACTTATTGTTAGTTATAGGAATGAAACACACATACACACTGCTTTTGCTTAAAAAAAAGAAAATGGCAAGAGCAACAACTGATTTCTTTCCCAACCATGAATGCTAATGCCATGCTAAGAAGCTGCTGATCACAAGGGACTTGAGATGACTCAAAGATATGCTGGGAAGCACAAAATTTTAAATGCCTTAGACCTTGAAAGAAATCCTAAAAACTTTTTTAAGGAGGCAGAGAAAGGATAATTTTGGCATTAGTGATTAAAATGATGAAAATCACAAACTTGGAGCCATGCAGAACTGTAATCTCCCAGTCATCAATGTCTCTACAATGGAAAATACATAAACAGATAAAAGATAGTAAGATAAAAATAAAATGTATATGAGAGCTTTAGGAAATCCTAACTGGACACAAAATACCAAGACAGAAACATGCTACAAGAGAAATCGCAAAGCTTTAATTCAACTTAAAACTGAACTAATTTGGAATTATAAATCAACTTAAATTTTTATTGAATTTTCAATAATATCAAAAGTCACTTATCAAACACTGGGGTAAAATAAGCACTGCTAAAGCAAAATTAAACTCTGAACCAAAGACATTTACGAAAACATAATTGGAAATTCAGAAATATCTTCTCTTTCTTTTTCTCTTAGCGAACAAGTCAAGACAAAAATAAATACTAAATCTTTAGATTACATCTTTCCCAGATGTAGATTTACAGTTCAAAGCCATCTAATTGATTTCATGAGCAAGAAAAGATCACATGGATGGATAAAGAAAAAAAAAAATTCTAGCTTTTGTGGAAATATTTTTCTCAAAGTTACAAGCAAGTCTTCAGAAGGCACCTTTTTCAGCCAAAGCTTCTTCAGGTTTTAAAACCTTTTTATACTTGGTAGGAGCAAAGTTACTAGCTGTAGTTAGGCAAGTACTGGTTGATAAATTCTTGGTATTCTCTGAATCATTTTTAAAGTTTTCCTTTGTCATCTTGAAAATTTTGCCAAACTTACTCATGAGTAATGAAAAGGAAAACACTAGATACCCTTAAGAGGAAAAAGAGTTATGCAAGTAACAACAGAAATGTCCCTAAAAACGCATATGTCAAATTGTTAGAAGAAGGAAAAAAAAAAAAAAAAACACCGAATACGTACCAAAGAAAATGCTTAAAGATACATACATAAGAGAGTTCGACAAACTAGGTATATTCACTTTAAACAAACCCTACATGTATGGAAATCTTAACCAACTATCACCTGCGCCTCACCAGCTTATGGAGCCTGAATTTAAAAAATCGAATAGGTTGTCCCTAAGTTCAACAGCCCGTCTTCCAGGTGACAAGGCCTCCACCCTTGCCCTTCTGATCTCACTCCCTGATTCTGGCTCCGTTTCTCCCCGTTCTTGCCCCTCTTGATGCTGTCAGCCTCCTAACCTCTGGTGCTATAGTGATGCTTCTATCTCTCTATTCAAACTGCCCAGACTACCCAGTGGCTGCCCTGAACCCTCCCTCATCTCTGCTGGGGGCAGGGGTAGGTAATGAACTGTCTCCTCTACCATAGGAAATATTTCTGCTATCAGCCTGCAAATTTTGGGATCTCCTTCTGGCTAATTAGTAGGTAGACTTTTCCTTCCAGAGCCTACCTTTATTTGCAGGGGTAGAGGATGGGGGTCGGTGGGGAGGGAGAGTGGAAGCTCCATAGCAGAAGGGGTGTGGCTTCTGAAGATATAAATCTGAATCGCTGAACAAAATAATCTCCAAATAATTAAAGTTTCTACTGCCAGCTCTTTTTTCCCTAAATACAAAGGCAGTCTGAATGGTGAGGTGATGGCGGAGTAATGGAGGGATTAGAACTAAGTGTGGTGAGTCCAAGAAGAAGTCTATACTGGTTCCAGAAACCTTGCTCCTTCTATAATTGAAATGTGCAATCTAGCTTCTGTCAACCTTCCTCACATTCTAATGAGTCAAGATGTCTGAACTGCAAATTAAAACACAGACATCAATTTCTTTCTCATGAGTTCCTTAACGTCCTGTCAAATGATGGTGTGGAATCAGAAACATGTTTGTGCCACTAACTATTCTATGACTATTATAAAACCTTTGCTTCAAAGGAGATGTCTTTTACATTCAACAGGCTAGTATATCGGGGTCTGACTTCTGATCTATCAGTAAGCCCTGTTCCACAGGTTTCGTTAAACTTGGGTAAATTTTCATAAAGATTGGTTAATGTTGCCATATACTGTAGGTACTAAAATCTCTTCCATGCTTTCGAAGAAGTAACATGCATTCAGTATGCACACTCCCCTTTGCAAGTACAGATAACAAGCAAAGCTGTAGGAATGTGACCAGAACTTAGTACGTTCCTTTTTAAAGACCCTAACTCATGACGACCCTACATGTGCACAGCAGAACTGCTCCACAGAGTTTTCAAGGATCTGACCTTTTGGAAGCAGATCACCAGGACTGTGTGTGGGTTTGAACTGCCCACCTGTCAGTTGGTAGCCAAGTTCTTAACCATTTGCACCATCCACTCGACAGCAACTAACAACAATAACTACAAAAAGTGAACTAGATCGCGTGGGGAAAAGTAATGAAGGGCCTTGAAAACCAAGCAGAGGAATCTGGATGGTAGTTTTAAAGTGTCTCATTAAAGATTTGTAAGCAGAGAAATGAATTATAAAAGTAACACTTCAGCAAATGAACTCAACCAAAGTATTCAGGAAGGATTCTAGAAGAGCTGAGAACGATAACAGCTCTTGAGACAAGTTGTTGTGGGTGCTGTCGAGTCTACTGTGACTCATACCAACACCAAGTGACACAGCGGAAATGCCCCTCAGGGTTTCCTAGGCTGTAATCTTTACAGGAGCAGATCGCCAGGTTGGAGCAGCAGAGTGGGTTTGAACCACCAACCTTTCAGTTAGCAGCTGAGGGCTTAAACATTGCACCATCACAGCTCCTTATAAGAAAGCTAGAAGGAACCTTTTTCTCTTCCTCGCTGTTTCCCTTCTTTTCTTTCTTTCAAAGTGTTTCTAATGACAAAACCTAAGTTTAAATAACCACTAGAGACAGAATTGAGCTTTGTCTCTTTCCATGCCCAGAATTATTAAGAAGGTAGACAACGGAGCCACAGAGCTGAAATGTTGAATTTTACATGAACTTGTGATACTGGTAAACAACAATGGTTAAAGAAATCTCCACCCTTTGTGTTCCAGAAAACAGCTTAGTATAAATAAGCCTATGACTTAGATAAGACTCAAGGATGCCCCCTATTTACCTATGACAAGGCCAGACACAGAACTTCTAAAATTCCTACTCCTTGCCCCATAAATGATCAAATGAACTGCTTGTCCCCACTGATCAATCAGAACAAAATGCTTGTTAACCAAACTTTGGGTAAGTTTTTCTCCTTTAGCCAAGCCCCTAAACTTTGGCCTACCCCCAGCCTGAGCCAATATACAGCCCCTGCTCATGGGTCTCTTCCAGAGAATAGGCTGGCCTCAGCATAAAACATTCTCTGATTTACTATCTGATCACGCCTCTCTTTCATCTCACTTCCCTATACCTGTTTCTTTCTAACCTTGTTTATTCTCTTCTCTATAAAAGAAAAATCTTTCTTGCCTAACTCTTGAGACACTGATCGTATGGTCAGAGCACCTTCTCTATTGCAACAGCAACCCCTACACACCTGCAATAATCCTTTTGAATAAACTGTCTCCTTACTAAGTATGGATTTCTTTTTTATTTGACAGGGCCCTCCCGAGACCTCCAAATAGATTTCTCAATCCATCCATCGTCCGGCCTTGACTACATGTGGCAAAGCAGCACCTGTCTTCTCTTTAGTCCATTCTGTCTGTTGATTTTGTAGTGTTATTTTGAAATTAACCAATTTTGAAGATCATTACCCTACTTAACAACCCACAGGATTGTTACAGATTGTACTTAACAATCTATAGGATTCCCTGGGTGGTGCAAACGGATGATGTGCTTGGCTGCTAACCAAGGGCTGGAGATTTGAGTCCACCCCTCCCAGAGGGCACCTCAGAAGAAAAGCTTGGTGATTTACTTCTGAAAAATTAGTCACTGAAAATCCTGTGGAACACAGTTCTACTCTGACACACACGGAGTTGTCATAAGTCGGAACTGACTCAACGGCAACTGATGCAGCGTGTAAACAGTGTTTAACAATCAATAATGAATCCTTACTTGACTACTATTCAGAGTCCCCTGCTGGTTTCAGTGCTCTCCACAACTGGATCTCACATTCATACCTGTTGCTGTCGAGTCAATTCTAACTCATAGTGACCCTAAAGGACAGAGCAGAACTGCCTCATAAAGTTTCCAAGACTACAATCTTTACAGAAGCAGATTGCCACATCTTTCTCCCTCAGAGTGCTGGTGGGTTCCAACCATTGACATTTTGGTTAGCAGATTACCTCTTAACTGCTGTACCACCAGGGCTCCTTCTATTCATAGCCAAGCTTAAATTTCCATTCCAGCAATTCCAAAAGTTCAAACTGACATCTCCATTCAGTGAACTCCTATTTAAATCAGGAATCCATGCTACCAGGTTTAACATTTAATTGTTTTAGATAGACTCTTTTTCCCCTGGAGGGTAGGGATAATATTTCTGGTTTCTTTTTTATTTCCCTCAGTGCTCAGAGGTTCATAGTAGAAATTCAAGAAATACTTATTAAAAATTTATCAAAAAGTTCTTTTATAAGGGAATAATCATTCCAAAAGTCATATGTTTCATAAGCACTATTATCCATATTCTATATTGTGTTTTCTTCAGCTATAAGTGGTCTATCAGAAGAGAGGAGACTGCATCTCTTACAGACTACTGGTGGGAAAGTAAACTGATGCAACTTTGGAAAACCGCTTAGCATTAGCCTGCAGTACCGACCATGTACATCCCATCATTTCCATTCTCAGGCACACACAATAGAGAACCTCTTGCTATGAGTGTACCAGGAAAGACTTCAAAGATTATCACAGAAGCATTGTTGACAATAGCAAACAACTCTAAACAACCTAAAGAGCAAGCAACAAGTAATGAGAACAACTGAATACTACACAGCAGTGAAAAGAATAACAGCAGCTATATAAGCACCAACATGGATGGATTGCTCAAACACGATACTGAGTAAAAAAACCAAGTTGCAGAAATAGATATGATTCCCTTATATAAAGTTTTAAAAATGCAAAAGTAAAGAATAGAATTTTTTTTTTCCAGAAATTCACACAGATTGGAGAAAACTATAAGGAAAAGCAAAGAAACACAAAACTCCTGACATGGTTATCTCTGGGGAAACAGGGCAGACACGAGTCAACGATACTTGAAATGTTTTATTTCTAACGTGGGTGGTGGATATGATGGTATCTATATTATCATACACCATAAAAATCTTTCCAAAATATTTAGTATTTCATTTTTTAAATGTAAATAAAACCATTCATCTCTATACATGTGAACATGTGCATCTCTGTTGCATGTGAAGTCAGGTGTCTGCCGAAACGAAAGACATTAGGATTGCATAACAAAATGGGAAGTCTATGGGCAGGTGAGAACAATAAGCAGCTTAACTGAAAAGGGGAAGTAAAGTGTATGATGTCAGAAACACTCGGAGGCATAAAGACAAGTACTTCTAGGCCAGAGGATCTAGTTAGGGCAAGTCAACTTTTCAGGGCCCTGGCAAGTGAGCATTCCAGGGTAGCTCAGTAGGATTTGAACACCAGGGTTAGGGCAGGATTTGGAAAGAGGAACTGGGGCAAGATAAGACAGAACAAAAAGGGAAACAGAAAAGTCAGGATTGCAGAGCAAAACTGATTCCCGGATCATACAACTATAACATGTGGATGTTCAGTTAGAATTCAACTTGATCCTTTAATTTTATCTACCTCATTTTTTAAAATTTCCTAATAAATGAAGTTCACTTCATTCCCCTTTGATTCATTTACTGCCTATGTAGTTCTCTACATTAATTTAATACCTCAACCTGATCTTGACTGCAATTTATTAACTTTAAGCAATACATTCGGTGAGTCTAATTTCCTGTTTAAGGCCTATAGCTGCAGAACTTCGGCTGAGCATTCGATATCTAATTAAATGTCCAGTTAGAAGTGTTGGTGATAACTCAAATCTGCCTCTGAAAACGCAGAGCTCTGAAAGCTTTTCTAGGATCATCTCAGTCATTGCTGAATCTAGGTGAACAATACCAGCTAAATTTTTAAAGCCTAGATGTAATATTGGAGTCTGGGTGGCGCAGTGGTTAAGTGTTTCGCTGTTAACCAAAAGGTCAACAGTTTGAATCCACTAGCCGTTCCCTGGAAACCCTATGGGGGCAGTTCTACTCTGTCCTATAGGGTCGCTATGAGTCAGAATCGACTCAATGGCAACAGGGTTTTTTTTGGATGTAATATTAAAACTAAAAGTTAATTTCCATTTTATATTGCACTCAATTCAAGATTTAAAACACAATGTTTACTTCTTCCCAGCATTCTCAACTTAACACTGCCATTACCCAATCATTCAGGACATACCTTTCTCTATTATTCAAGAAGTATAATTTTACATTGATCTATATAAGTAAAATTAACTTACCTGCACTTTTTTTAAAGCTACTGGTACTCCATCCAAGAGACAGGCTGCTCTATAAACTTCACTAAACTGTCCACGACCAATTTTCTTCTCTATTCGAAAGTTGGCTAATGTATTATAGCCCATATCCGGTCGTAAGGCTTTCTGTAATTAAAAAAAGTCAGAAAAGTTTTCAATCATACAACATACAAAGAGAAAGCTCACTGATCATTGTCATGTAAGCAGGTGATACTTGTGGTAACACTCTACACATCCACACACTGAACAAATGTTTACTGAACACCTACTCATGCCAGGTACTGTTCTACGTACTGGGGATACAGTGGCAAACCAGACGGAAAATAATACCTGCACCTGAGGAACTTTCGTTCTGATGGAGGAGAAAAATAATAAACAAGGTAAATATGAAAAATATGTGTAGCATATGAGAGTGTTAAGTGCTAAATTAAAAAAAAAAACAAAAAACCCCATTGCCATCGAGTCACTTCCAACTCACAGAGACCCTACAGGACAGAGTAGAACTGTCCCACAGGACTTCCAAGGAGCAGATGGTGAATTCAAACTGTTGATCTTTTGGTTAGCAGCCGAGCTCTTAACCACTGCACCACCAGGGCTCCAAAAACCAAAACCGTTGCCATCGAGTCAATTCCAACTCATAGCGACCCTATAAGACAGAGCAGAACTGCCCCATAGGGTTTCCAAGAGCTAAACATAAAAAAATGAATCAAGAAGAGGGATAGAAAATGTCAGGAAATTAGAGCGGATTTTAAAATTTTAGATAAGAACTCCCTATAAACTGTCGTTAGTTTACTGAATATAAACCTGTCCCATCCAGTCAAGTACTTCTCTAATATTTCTTTTCTTTTTCAAAGAATCTTTGAGTTGAAGTAGACCTTACCTAGATTCATTTAGGCCACCTGTCAACTAACACATGAAATGCTTAACCTCCAGGTAAGTAGTTATTTAATTTCTGCAATGAGTATTTCCAGCGGCAGGGAGTTTACCACCACATCAAAACGGTTTAACCTGGAGAATCCGGCAAAATGGTGCTCTGGACAGAAGCACCACGCCGTCCCTCCACAGCAAAGATCCGAAAAACTAAGCCGAACAGAGAATACAACAATCCTGAAACCCTAAAACATCAAATGAAGAGATAAAGAACTCAGCCA